TATATATATATATTTTCTGTTTTAGGGAGAAATTCAGTAAGTATTATGACATGATTAATTCACTAATGTTGAAATGGAAAACAGGAAAAGATGTGTAACGGTATAGATTTAATAAAATTAAGTGAAGGAAGGAGTAAAAAATTAGGTTATCAATAAATTATACTCGATAGTTGATTATAATTAAGTCATATAACACGGGAGATTTAGTAACTGCATAATTACGTTATAATTTTTAAGTCACGGTTACCTGACTGCAAACTTTAACGTCCCAGATCATAAAGAGGATGGTAAAACCAATTAAGTTAGCAAGAAGAAAAGAAAAAGTTTTTTAAAATTTTTTTAAACACATTCAGCTGGTATTTTCATATGGAATTTTTTTTTATGTTTCTACGAAGTTTAGTTCTGGTAGAAATCAAAGTTATTCCAGCTTCCTGAAGAGAATAGTCTCGTCCCTTTTTGTATTTAATGAATTTTGAGGTAGCTGGCGAAACTACCTTTTTACTCGATAAATTTAAGAATCTAGAAAATATGAAATGGTTCTAATGACATGGCAAACACATATTCATATAATTCATGTTACTCCCCAAGAACTTTTACAATGAATCCTTATCAAAATGTTTTTCAAAAATGTATTAATATGAGCAAGGGTAGTAAATCCTATTTAAAATCTGAGCTCTAAAATTTGTGAACTTGTGTAACAGTTTTGCATGAACCCATTGTTCATAGTTGATTAATCAAATAATTCTTAATATCTTTAAATCTTTATATAAAATTTAGTACCATAACCTTATTCATGTAATTGCTAGAGACGCTCTCAGAACTTTCCTTAAGATTTCTCTCCAAATGTTTGTTCAAATGTTTAATAAGTTAGTCTGAGCACAAAAAATCCCATTGAATTTTTAATTTCCATATTTGAAGGAATTTCAAAGTTTATTATGTGAAATAAATTATAATTTCATTCGTTCATTAGCTATAAACACCGAATCATGAATTTAAACCAAAAACTGATAAACATTATCTTGATCACAAAAAAGTAAAATATAGTAAAAATGTGGTATATTATTTATATGTTTTATATGTTTTATATATATATATATTTTCTCTTATTTCAGGTTGTATGACCCTTGAAAATCAAATCTAGATGACTACTGATGTGGCAGACCCTAGTTGTACATTTATTAAAATGAGGAACTATGTCTCCAGATTAAAGAGCTTTTAATTGAACCTGCAATCTTTTGTATACTGCCATTTTGTTTTTACAAATTTTTTATTGTTACTTTGCAAGTCCATTTAATAAATTAAAAAAGAGAACTTGCATTTCTATTTATTTTATGCAGCTAGCATTCAAGAAACTTTACTTTATGCACTAAATGTTACCACTGGCAAGTTTTATTATCATTTAACAAATATTTCGCAAAATAGTTTCTTATGTTGCTCTTTTTCAGAGTTATAGTGTCAAGCTTCTATATAGCTAATTGAACAACACTACTCAAAGATATGTTACCTTTAAAAGTACTGCTTGTTAGGGGCAAGAAAAGTAATTACTAATTATTAAAATGTGTTTTGATTTCATCTCAACTTAGTAATGAAGTAATTACAATCATATCATTTTCTGTACATTGAAACTTTGTAACAATTTTTAAAACCTATTCCAAGCATAAAATATAATTTATTTATTATAAGTGATATGTGTATACAAATTAAAACAAAAATTTAACTTTATAACTCCAGTTGTATTTATGCATTTTTTCAGTGGACAAATAACTATCATCAATTCACAGAGCTTCTAAATTGAGCTATGCTTTTATCAGTAAAATTAAATTTCAGCTGCTGATAAGTCCTTTTGCCGGAAATGGGATATCAATTACAAAATACTTTTAAAGCATTTTGTATTTAAAGCATACCACCTGGATTTTAATTCTTTCAATTAATGAAATGATCTTGAATTACCATTTTATTCCAGGATGTTCTTAGGTTTATCAAATATTTACTAAAATCTTGAAAGTCGAAAGTAAAATGTTTTGAACTTTATAGTTGACAAAATTTAGTAAAACGCGCTTTAAATAATTTCATTTAAATAATTTGAACTTGCTTGCTTATATTCTCTGACAGATTTAATTAATTTTACTTAAAAAGAATTTTTTGAGTATTAATTTCAGAACGTTTTGATTGTAAATTAAATACTTATTATAAGTGTAAATGCCATGAACGTTTGTATGAAATTACTTACTATTTAATTATTTTATTAAATGAAATCAAATATTTTATAGTACATTATTTAAGCAAGCATACATTTTATTTATTTTTCTTAATTTTAAAATTCATTTTTTAGTTTAAGTTTATTGAGTTCTGTTCATAATATTGCACTAACTGACAGATGTGTTGAAAAAAGTTTTATTATTTATTGCCTAGAGAACTATAAAATATCAAACATTTATTTGTTTATTCATGTATTATTATTTTCAATAAATTTATTTTATATTCATTTGGACTCTTAATCTGTTCATAAACACATTCTGTTGAAGCATTAAGATAATTCAGTGTTATTCTAAGAAGTGCAATTAGTTACACGAATGGCAAGTAATTACTCTTGTTGTTTAATTTCAGCTGGTCATGTTGCTCCAGTGGTTTATAACACATTAGATCCAATTTAAATTAAATCACATCTCGTTTAGTTTTTGCGAGATTTTATATTTCTCCTATTTTACTACAAACACTAAATCCGAACCCATGAAGGAGAAGGCCATTTAATAAATTAATTTGCTTTATGAAATAAATACATTTAAATATACTAATAAATGATAGACATTTCCTTTTTGCCATGCGTTATACTATATTAGAACTTGTTAGAAGTCCTAAAAGACTTTTAAACAGGTAAAAACTGGTTTACGTTGGCTTAAGGGCTTTTTTCCGCTGTTATTAATCTCTTAGTAGTTCTAAAAAAAGCTTGCAATAAAATTGATCAGAAAAATTTATTTAAAAAATATGAGTAATCAGTTAAATTAATTCGTGAAGAATTGTGTGAGTTGTGTAAAAGTAATCAAGTACATCATAATTAGCAAAATAGAATAAAAATTTACGAAACAAATTTTTATTAATGCATACATAGAACACTTATGTACAATAAATCCGTACTTTACTATCTAAACATTTATAAATTTATAATAATATAAGCTTTTGGGTGGGCTGAATTTTTTTTTCTCTCCTTCCGTTAAGCGCTATAGTGCATGATTTAAACATTACAATGCATAAATGCTATAGTGTATATGTAGTTTTGTGGATAGAATAAATGAAAATAAAATCCACTTGCAGGTATTAAAAACAGCCTTAAAATTTTGTAAAATAAGTGGCTTTCATGGTTTTTCTAATAAATGATAAAGAAAAAAATTCTTATAAGAAGTAACTTTAATCATTTTTCCGAAAGTAAAAAAAATACTCGATATGCATCATAATACTCATAAAAATACCTTTTTACACGAAAAAAAATGTAAAAAAGCAATTTTCCAGTTATATATAAACCTATCGATGGGCTATTATTTTAACTCTTCGTTCAAAATGGTCTCTTACTTGTTCTTTTTCTTGAAAAATTTTATAATGAAGATCTTGAAAGGAGCGCATTTCTTATAAAACTATCTCTGCTAATGAAACTGATAACCTTCCGCGACGTTTCCTTTCCATTTTAACACACCGACACACTGTTCCATAGACTGAGTTTGTTATGGGAATTTGTCTAAGCTCCACTCAGCCACAGTTTCTCAGAACTGGACCTTTCATCGAATCTCTTGATCAGTGAATCACTGCCACAAAAGTGGTATAGAGCGGGAGGTATTGAAATTGTAGTTCATCGAATTACTTCGAAGCAATCCATATTAAACGTTTGCGTAGTCCATCAAGTTACTTCGATGTAGTCTGTAATAAATATATGTGTAATCCATCGAATAAATTTGGTGTAATTCAGAGTAAGCATATGTGAAAACAATAAACTTACTTCGATTTAGCCTGTAGTAAACATTTGTGTAGTCCACCGAATTACTCCGATAGAGTCTGTAGTGTAATTGAACTTCATTAAAACCGTTAGTATACAAGCTTGTTTATTACACAAATCAAATATGGAGGATGCGTCGTAATCGTGAGGGTGATGTACACCTAAAAGAACAAGTTTATTGCTTAAATTGAATAAAACATTAAGTTCAGACAGTAAGAAATGAGTTCCAGTTGTCTTGGTAACGAAAAACCAATAAAATAATTTCTCTTTGGAATTTTACCCATTAAACGCTGCATTTTGTTGCATGAATGGCTTTAACCCGCAAAAAGAGGAAAACAGATCCAGTCTTGGGCTGGAAGATCCAAGTTTTAAACCTACAATATACAATTATCCATTTCTTTAATAATTTTATACTATTTTGAACTTATTACTTAAATAACAAGTTACGTCTGTTAATTATTTTACTCAGATTTATAAACTGTGATTTCAGATTTTTCCTCTACGAAAGGTTCAATATTAGAATTGTAATAGTACAATCCATCTTTCAATAAAGTATTTATGCAAATGTTCATTATTATTTTAAAAGTTTTTTGTTTTCAAAATATTGATACTAAACAGTACTTTCTAAATATCACAAGAATATTCATGTTTAATTATCTTAAATAATACTGTAAGACATTATTATCCATATATTTCATTAGCTTGAAATGTTTTTGATTTTTAATATGATATTTTTCCAAAATACAGAAAAATAAAATTTTAAAACACAACTCACCTTATTGCAAATGGCAAANTTCTAAAAATTTAATTTATTAATTGATAATTGTTAAATTTCCTAAAATTTTTTCGATAAAATTTCTACTCCTCTGAAAGTCATTCAAATGTTCAGATTTTTCTGGAATGTACCACCTTAAAATTATTGTAATATTGAATAATGAATGTTCACTTATTTCTTAATTATTTAATTGATTTAAATTAATAATTTTGTACTTACGTAATTTGCTGATAAAGTTTATACAAATACGTTGAGCATTTTCTACTTCATTAAATTCTTGTTTCAGGGAACTTCATTTAATAAGCAGTATCATAATATCGAGATTTTAAAGTTTAAAAAGTTTCTACATATCTAATATTAGATTAAATGTATCGTAATGTGTTTTTCACTTTGAGTTCTTGAAGATGTGAAGACATCTTGCTGATGCCTCTCCCTCAGTTATGGTATTTTTGATGTTTAAATTTATTCATTATGCCCCTGAAGTAAATTAAACAGGTCTATAACTTTTTGTGCAAGCTCATATAATAACATAAAAAAATTAGTTTTCTTAATAATTGTTTATAATTTTTAAGGTTTAATAAAAAAAGCATATTTATTAGAATTGTAATATATGCAAATTTGTTATAACTGTATAATTTTTTTAAAAATTACAAAATATTATTTTTATTATTCGTTTTCCCAAAATATAATTTTTATTATTTATAGCATTTATTAATTGTAACACTTACTTATAAATAATAATAATTAATTCAATTAAGTAAAATATTCAACAACAGATTACTGTGAGCCAGAGGGATATGGAAGTTAAGGCTCCACATGCAACGGTATGATTGTGATGATATGATCTATATTACGCACATGCCACCTTTACATCCCTGACAAGCTAGTACCCATTGACCTGAAGATTGGAGGACTGCAAGCCGCCACTGAAAAGCGAACCTTAGTTTTCATAATGATAGTTCAGTTATTCCTTTAACAACTGAGCCATCATGGCTCAATCTATTTATTAATAATAGATTAATATACGAATTTTAGCCATTATTTTTTATAACTTCTTAAATAGTGTAATGAATGACGAAATCTGAAAATGGAAGGAAGGCATTAAAATAGTTTCCAGGAAATAAATGCAAAAAGATTTCAAATTCTTCTTTCTCAAGAATAATTTCAACCAAATTTTAGATTTTTTCTCTTCCAGTAATTGCTTTAAGAGAGAAAATAAATATGAACACAGTGAGTACAGTTAAAAAAACAGTTATTTTTCATTACTTTAATCATTAAACATGTATGAATATTATTTAGCTTACGCAAATTATCCTTTGGTAAACAAGTTTTATATAAAAGCTTCAAGAAATTTAATTATTAAAATCTTAGTTACTTAAATTTCAGGGATGCAATAAAACACAGAAAGTGAAAGTAAGATAAAAACTCAAAAATCAAAAATAAATTAATTTAAAAAATTAAAGCAAATGATAGAATAATCAAATATTACCTCAACATCGTTGACTAAAGATATCCCGAATAGTATATTATTACTTCAAACGTTTTCAACTTCTATAAATTATTTTGTTCGGTTTATATAATCTGATTCTGCACTCACCTTTTTACTAATCATGTTTTGCACTGCACAGTTAAACATTTTATGGTAAAGCGATGAGAAGGAATTTCGCAAGAGAAAATTAAAATATGGTAGAAAAAATTTTCCTTGAGGTTTTGACAGTGAATTTGTATTGTATTAGTTGTATTGTTGTATCAGTATGCAGTTGCCGTACATAATAATTTTTATACCTTATGTATGGTATCATTTTTGTCATCCTATGTATGGATGATTATGAATATCACCTTCTGTACGTATGGACTGACTAGAAAGGCGTTCCAATGTTTACTAGTAACAAGTATCATTGAATAGAAGAAAGTTTTAGTTCTATCATCTTATTGTTTACAGACTTTTCGCCGCATTGCAATTTAAATACCATTTATTCTTTTGACGAGAATTTTTCAGGTGTAAGTGAATTATGATTTTTGAACTTGACTAAAATTACTTGAATGAAAATATCATGAAGCTAATATTCATAATCGAATGAATGGGAAAACTATTCAGTTTAACATAAGTATATATCACAGTAACGTACAATTTTTGAAACCCTGGAAATTAGAATAATGTTTTGGAAAAGCTGTATAAAAGTTTTGAAATAGATTTTTCAGCATAGAGTATTCGAGAGCTGTTTGTTTTGCTTCGAACTTTTGTCTTGATTCGAATTTTATTTTTTATTTTCGAAAAATTCCAATTTCTAAAATTTCCTATGCATTAGGTAAGTTTCATACTGTTAAAATTTAGTGAAAAAGGAAAAAATGAATCAAACTGCTTAACTAAAAATAAATACACTAAAAAATTTAAGTAAACGATGATATAATAAGAATTTATGCATGTGGTAATAAAGATAATAAGAATGCATGTCAATCCAAAAAGTGAACTAATAAAAGCTTAAAAGCAAGATCAGAAAAAAATTACTCCCAAAACATAACAAATTTATATTGGGTCATTACATTTAGCAAAACTTATAATTGCTTATTTCTTGAAGAGATAAATATTTTCAAGATTAAGGATGATTCATAAAGATTGGATGAAATAAAATATGACCCATACGAAAAAATTAAAATGGCCAAATTTTAAATTATTTGAAATAAAAAATTATTATCTGCCTTCAATAGTGTAATTAAACATCAATACATCAAACCTGCGTTATTGAGCTTAAAACTTTATAGTATATAAAAAGTTTCCATTTTGAATATTACGATTGGTACCAATAAATTAAATACCAGTCATTAGTGGTCTATTCGTAAAAGAAATTCGTTGTTAAAATATTACTCACAAAAAGCAAAGGGTAGGTAAAACCCATGCTTCCTTCTAAAAGTGATTAAGATAAGGAAAGAATTGCAATTTTATTTTATTATTTTATCTTATTTTATTTCATTATCTTACCTTACATTACATTATCAAAAGCGAATTTGCATTATCAATTCACTCATTTCAATTTTTCATTATATTATCTTCTATTATTTTTCATCACATTATTTTTCATTATAGTTATTCATTATATTTTATGTTATTTTTCATGAAATTTTCTTCTATTTTTCCTTATATTACCTTCATCTGGTTTGATTTTGTTTCCTGTTTATGACTATTTCTTGGTGCAGTACTTTGTCACTTTACTACTGGCAGTACTTTTTGTAGTACTTGTCATCGACCACAGAAACTGCTCCCTCTCTGACGGCAAGGCAATGCCACTTAGACACGCTGCCGTGTTGTCAATGTGCTTATCCTTTCCATTCTTGCACTTTATTTTATGAATATTTTTTGCTTTTGTTGCTGGTAAGGTGATTCCTGCTTCCCTGTCATTTATTGTATTCATGTCGATTACAGTAAAATTCTATTGATTTTGGCAAAAGCCCTATTCATTTCACAAATAGCCTAATACCATGTAATTTACTTTTTTCCTTTGGTAATTGCTTTAGTTATTATTTCTTGGGGCAGTACTTTGTCACTTCACTACTGGCAATACTTTGTCAACAGAAATTGCTCCCTCTCTGACGGCATGACAATGCCTCCTTAGGGACGCTGCTGTGTTTTCAATGAGCTTATCATTTCCATTCTTGCTCTTTATTTTATGAATATTTTCTATTGTGCAGAGCTTTTGTTGCTGGTGGGGTGATTCCCGCTTCCCTGTTATTTATTGAATTCATGTTGATTTAAGTAAGATTCTATTGATTTTGACGAAAGCTCTGTTCTCCAATAGCTTAATACCATGCAATTTACTTTTTTCCTTTTGTGATTGTTTTAGTTCGACATTTTATTTTCTTAAGCTCCGTAAAAACTTTTACCTTAAATCGAAAATCACAACGCAAAAATCAACCCAAAATTCGTCCTAACAGTTATGTGAACGAACACCTTATTTCCACTTAATACAAAATAAAATGTTCTTATGCACTAAAAGCAAATGTTTCATTCAGAAACTAATCTTATTTTACCCAATCAGTTTATTTAAGAATTCAAAATATTGCTTTTTACTTTTCATCATAGAAATATATCATAGGAATAATTTTACTGAATCTTGTGTAGGGTAAACCAACCAGTGAAGGAACATTACCCAGTGAAGGAACATTTCATACATATTGATTAAAATTAAGAATTCGAAAGTTTTTCGTTATATTGATTGGTAACACTAGCTTACTGCCAAACAAAAGGAAGTCATCTAGCAATATTTTGAATTACCTGGTCAAATAGACTTCTCTGGAAAAAATTTTGAATTTGTTATTATCTCTGCAACACCTTGCTTCTTTGAAAAAAATATAAGGTAAGTGTTTGTATTTATATGTTTGAAGTGGAATGAATTGCATGTAATAGTTTTATTTTTCTCACTGTGAGAAAGAGAATTCAAAATATAGTTATTGAAGTTGCGTTTTATTGATTTTAAGCATCATAGCATAATAAAGTACTGAGATAAGGGGATGTTTATTCACTGGATCACCAAACAATGAAAAACCAGTAAAGGAACAAGTGTTCCTTTACTGGGTTTTTTTTTTCTAATTTAGTGAAAATAAAAGATGAACTTTAATTTTCTTGCACCTTTAGTGATGTTCCGCATCAAAAGTATGTTAAAAATACGAAAAACAACTTCTAACCGTTGAGGGAACAGGCATGTTCCTTTGCTGGGCATAGATTTCCCAGTGTATGATCAGTATGTGTTAACATGTTGACACTTTAATTTTCAATTTATGATTACAAAAAAAAGTTAACATTTCCCAAGTATTTATAGGTTATGATTCAAGAATAGGCTTGTTTTTAAATACTTGTAGGGCCAATAAATTCTTAAAGAGCATTAAAAAATAACCAAAATTAAGTGTTTCTTTACTGGGTGTTCATTCACTGGTAGTAGCTTTTCCTTCACTTGGTCATCTTACTACTTGTTATTTGAACCTCCAAAACTTTAAAACAATATTATGTAAGTTCTCTACAATTTTTTTACATAATTTGCAATTAGTATCAAATATGTTGACACTGTCATTTAATTAAAATTACGAACTTTGAAATTAATATGATTTTTTAAAAGGCAAGCGAAGCTTAAGTGTTCCTTCACTGGTTAGTTTACCCAGTATCATATCTTACTGTAATTATAAATTTTAGTGATACTGAAAAGCAAAAATGGTGGTATCTTCTTTTGAATTTCTACATACAAGTAGTGTAAAAGAACATTCTTGTTGTTTCACTACACTAGGAAATATCCTTCGTTCTTGGTGTAGTGAAATATTAAAACCAAGAGTTATCTCAGGTATTCCCTTACACCATATTTGTGGGAAGTAGTTGCCAACATTTTGGTGTTAAAAGCCTTTTTTTGACCATGCAGGTGAGATGAAATCATCGGCATTAAATAAAAAAACGGAAAAATGAGGCAGAAAGAATCATCGGCATTAAATTTTACATTTAATTATTGGGGAATTTTCAAAACATTTTCCATTGTTTGAAACTTTTTCTTAATAGTACTCAATGTTTTTGAAAGTTAAATGTTTTGTCAATATATATTTTTTGTTCACTAACTATTTTCTTAAATCATAGCAAATAATGTCACTCAAGATAATGCAAGAAAGATTTTTATTAGTATTTTCATAGCAAGTTCTAAAGAGCTTGCTTACAAAGCTGTTAAAAAAAGTAATGTATGGCATGCAATCCACAACTGAAGATTTTCGATGGACTTGAGATGATCTGAAATAGTAAATATAATGATATAAAAATACTCAAAACATCTATTTATTTTATAATATTAAGCATTGGGGAATTAGGAAAGATTTTTTCAATAAAAGTGAATAGTATGGTAGCAGATTACAAACTAACCCCCAATAATCACGTTGAAAATGGGTTTTTTAGGATCTCATATTTTCACATAAATTTTCTGTTTTTATACCTTGTTCTCATAACAATATATAAAATACTTGTAAAATCTATGATACTTGCAAATTGAATGAAATTGTTAAATTGTTTTAAAATATTGCTTAGAATAATTGTATTATTTTATTTCGTTTTAAACAATGAAATAAATAAACAACATTTGGGCAACACACAAAGTTTTTGCTATTTTATTCTTAAAAGTATGCTACGATTTTATGCTTGGTTAGCTGTAAAAACATTTTAAAACAGTAAACAATGCAAATTTATGAAAAATCAATTGTGCAAAATGTTTTTGGAAACGTATGATATCAATTAAAAATAAAATACACTATCTGCCAAAAATTTAGTAGATTTACACATCAAGTTAATTTACATGATTTTTAAGCCCAAGAAACAAGACTCGAAGAAAGATATTAAGTACAACTAAGAAACACTATATTTTTTAACAGATAATATAATTTTGTGTCTATTTTTACTTTTATTTCTTATATTTAGTTTATTTTTGTTATAAATTTGGTAAAAAGTTGGTAATAAGCTTTGTGCAAGAGGAAAAAAATCTCATTTTACCATTTGGTATCATTACTTTCTTCATGATTAATAAGTAAATAGAATTTTGGAGCACTAGTCTTTTGAGTTTGCTAGTCTATATACTGTATCCATAATGACTTATTCATATAAGTTCGACTCACGTTCGCAGTAAAAACTGTGAAATATCACTCCGAATTTGATATTGAACAACTCTAAAAGTTTAGAGCAGGAACATTTTTTTTCCCGTTAACATAAAATTAAGCTATCATATAGAAATATCATAGTATGAAAAAAAGTTCTGAAAACCTGAAATGTTGATATTTAACACAAACAACACTCGCATTTTACACCGCAATCACTATAATTGCACTTCCGAAAGCTCTAATGTTGGTGTGTTCAATGATAACGAGCTGGTGATTGTTAACGTCTGTCTTCAATGTTGCTTTTCATCTTCAGAAACTCAATTTTACCGTTAATAACTTGTATGTATATTTTTAGTTGAGTAAAAAGAATATTACTATTTTATTTTCAGTTCTATGCAAACTGTTTTAAGTACTTTTTTAATGCATCCTATCTATCCTCTCTGGTTCTGTTAAGCCTAATTCGAATTCGTCTTAAATATTCTCTCAACTACGCATACGTTTTGTATTTACAATCTTATTTCTTTAAGAATCAGAATTTAAGCTCAGGGAGACTTTAATAGCTCTTTGCTTAAATAATTTGGGTTAAGTGTTCTTGTTTTTAATTTTGCTCCATCAGGGTCAAGATCAGGAAAATAGAGTGACAATAATAATTGATATGCATTCAAAAACTTTGTGCTTCAACACTTTCTACGAAAAAGGAATGCGTGTGAACAAAAGCACTATCATATTCTGAACTTAAGCGCAACCATTTTCTTAAATCTGAATAAATTTCAAAATTTAAAACTCTTATGTTAAAGTCATTGATTATTTACGTTTATCACTAGCAGTTCAGAGTTTCGGAAAAAAAGAAGGAAAAAAATTTAAAAAAAACATACTTTTTTTAATCCTAATGTACAAATTAACAAACTACAACTTTCACTTTTTTTATGATATAATAAATTGCTTGCGTTAAATTTTAGTTTTTACGTGCAACGCGCTTAATTTGCTACTCAAGTCGTGAAGAGTTCATGAAGAGTTCATTTGGCTAATTCAAGACTTTTCATTAAAAAAATATTATTTCTCACATACTTTTTATAAAGATTATAAACATAAATAAAACAAAATTATGGAGTGCATGGAGTTTTACATAACCAATCATATAAATAATTCAAAAATTATAATGTATTTATATATTTAAAGAGAGAATGCTTTAAAAATTATTTTATAATTACAAGATTATCATATTAAAATCACAAATATACATTATTTTAGTTGTCATTAGAAAGTGAAATAATAAAAAAAATTAAAAATCGATAAAAAATTCAGTAAGAAATTAGAATGATATGACTAATGTCATAAAATAAAAAATAATTCATTAAAATGCTATAATTAGAAATTAAAATATTACTCTTAATTATATGCAATAATTTTAAACTGCTCGTGAACAAAAAAATGTATATTGTTTCTTCCATTAGTTTAATCTAAACTGATCTAATAAAAAGGTTCAAGTAGTATGTAATAAAAAAGATTATTGAATAAGTAAATTAAAGTTGTTCAGTATCAAATAGAATTTTAAAGTTTTAATGCAGAACATTTCTTTTGATCATTGTTTCATGAGACAATGCCACTTAAAAAGATTAGCGAAGCATTTTTACTTAAAAATTGCCTTAATTACAAATTCTTATAAACAAAAAAGTTTATGATGAGGAAATATATTTAAGAACTTTATTTCTAAATTTATTTTACCAGAAAACATCACAAAACATTATCAGAAAACATCACAAGAGAGTTAAATTTTTCCACTAACTTCAAATTTTAACTGCTAACTTAAAATACTTTTTTAAAGAAGTTCATAGAGTGTGTTGTTATATTTTTATGTTCTTATTTTCAACTTTCCGTCGATTTTTAATATTTCATTTGGAAAAAAAACACATTTCTCTTGCAAAACCTGGAATATAGAAAACAATATTTTTTTTTACTCTTCCGATATATAATCGAAAAAAATGTTTGACGAATAAGATTTGATTTTAGACACTACTTTTTCTTCTTAATGAAAATAGTTTTTTTTGTAGAATCTGCTTTGTGTAACTTTTGAAAATACAATAATGCTTTGAATTCTTATACTATCACGCTTTATTCAAATCACAGCTGATTAGATTAGATTGCCGTGTTTCTATTTTCATTTTCAAAATTAAAAATAATTTAAAACATGTTTAAGAAGCAAGCACGGCACATTAATAAATTATAATTTATGTAACTTAGCAAATCATAAAAATACTTATTATGTATACCAGTTTCATTTCTAATAATGTTGTTTGTCCTTATGGTAAAAGTGAACACCTGAAATAAGAAAATAAAACTTATAATCACTGCTTAGTTTTTAAAATTTTCATTTGTATTTGCAGTGCAAATTCAATGCGCCTTGAAAAATAACAGTTAACGCTTTAAAATTTACGTGATGAGGGAACATTAATTAAATTTCTGTTTTTCAACTAAATATTTTCTTGGTTAACTTTGTGCTTGCGATTAATAAATAAAAATTACAATTCTATAATAAAGAATCTTATCAGCATTCGGATAAAATTAAAGTACAGAGATGTAGCTTCCAGCAATGTAAAAAAGTAATTGTGTCCTAATTGAGGGGGCACCCAAGACAAAATTCTTGATGGGACCAACAAGATTTTTTGATGGTTTATGTTGGTTTCATGTTGGCCCAACTCCATTTGATGCTAACCAACATCCAGCAATTCCCATCATGCCATAATGGAATAATGGGCCAACAAGCTACCATCATTTTATGTTGGAAAATGATGTTTTTCTATATGATGGTCAACCAACATGTAATGTTGGATATTTTTGGACCAATAATTTCCATCATTTTATGATGGAAAATAATGTGTTTCGTTCTTTCAAATCTTACATTTAACAGTCTATCTTAGAAACGTTGTTTTTGAATGTTTAAATGTTGTCAATGGTTTACAATCGTGCATAAAATTTTGTAGTTTAAAATTTAAATAAATTAATAAAAAACAATATGAAAGATCTTCTCTTATATCTTGTAAGTCAGTTTTTGTTTTAAATTGCAATGTGACAAGCCCTCGCTTATTTCTTTTAATCGCCATGTGTTTCAACATCTTCAGAAACTTGAAAAAGGTAGACAAGCAAAAAAGAAAATTAAGAATTGGAAAAAATAGTATGTTACAAAGGTCAAATACAAAAATCTTAAGAATTTTTAAACTATGTAATGACTTAAATCTAGTTCCATGGTTGATCAATTTCAGCAGAAGAAAAACTAAACTATATGATTCGGAGATCCTGATTTTAAACATGCTTTTCATATTCTTCAGGTTGATTTTTAAGTGCATTTTTAGATTTTTTTGCAAATATCCCATTTTTAATGTTCGCGTTGGAATATTTTGAACTTAATATATTTTCAGTAAAAACTGAATTGCTTTGCTTGAAAAATAAATGTACTTCTTACCATCACTAAAACCACCTAAAAATGTAAGAACACATTAATATTGGAACTAATTTCAAAAAGTTTAGTTCAATATGAGTAAATTTAAAATATACGTAAATGTATTAGTTACATACAATTTTATTTCTAAGCATATATAAACCTAATTTTAAATGTATATGCAAATAAATCTTGGATATTAAATTTTTTGACGATTAACTAATCATAGGATTTTATTTTATTATAAAATATTTTTCTCCAAAAATTATAAAGTTTTAAATAAATTATCTTTCAGATAAGGATTCTTTTTTGTTGCATTATAAATTTCCCAGAAATAGTGTTTAACTTACTTGTTACAGCGTGAATGGCTGAAAAGAGCAAAAAAATATTTTTATTTAAAAAGTTGAAAAAAATAATTTTAATGTAAACACTAAATGGATTTGTTAATCCAGTCCTATTTTAATATAGGGAAATTCATAGTATTATTTACTATAATTGACCAACTAAGATTGATAGATTTAAAATTTAACCAATTTATCAAATCCCTTTATATTTCATTCATGAGCGCAATTGATACATATTAATGTTATGCAAGAGCAATCTGGAAACTAAGTTTCCAACTGTCTATACAAAGAAAGAAAATTTTATTAGCTGAAAAGATTTAATACAAATGATTTAGAAGAACGTTAGTTTCTTCAAAACCTACATACTATTATAATATTTGAAATACCGTGAGATGAGTTTTTAAAGTCAAGTATCAAAGTAGTCTAGCGTCTGTTAACGAAGCTCACAAGGCACAACTATTAGTAAATCGACATGGACAAGAATTGAAGAGGACAAAATAATTAAATACAACAATACAAGACTAACAAGAAAAATCTAAGTGGAAGAACAGTTGCGTTGCTGCAATACAACGTTTATTGACAAAATGTCTGCTTCTGAACACTTATATTTAGATTGGAAATTACTAACAATCCTCCCCTTTGTCCCGATCAAGCACCAGGTGACTTCCTCCTCTTTTACATAAAAAACAATACTAGTTAGAAACAATTATCTCTATATTATGAAAAGTAGAAAGCATCTAATATGATGAGTGGTTTTGACCTATTTCTTTTAGTATAAATGGCATTTTTAATCGAAGTAGGATATTTTAGATACCTTGTTTATGAATAATAATGTGGGATTTTTAAAATATCATATATATTTTGATAGTTTTGATTTAAGGTATTTATAAAATATGTAAGCAAATGTTTATAAGAGTTATTCCAAATGTTTAGATACTTAAATTTTTGAATATTTTGAATTGTTTTAAATGCTTACCGACCTATCTTTCAGAGGGTTTAAAACATTTACAATTAAAAAGCACACGAGATTAGCATTAATTAACGTTAATTTGTCTAAAACCTCAAATAAAATAGATTATATTTCACCTGTAGATAAAAAGATACATTAATTGAAAATAAATTGGAAATTTCTTAAACTTTTATAAAATGTTGATAATTGTACACATAACTCATGTCTAAAACAAAATAATTATAATCGACGAATAAACAAGCACATTAAATTGTAGTTACTTCAAAACATATTATAAAATGTATAAAACGACATTTTTACATATTTTTAAAAAGGCATTTTTTTAGTTCATAATAAACATCACAAAATAATACAAGCAGTTTAGAAATTAATATTGTATTTAAAACGTAATTACCATTTTTGCCTATATCTATAACACAGAATATAATTATTAGTTCCAGTTTCATTATTTTCATCAGAAATTTACTGAATTTTACAATATTTATTTAAAAAAGAGAATGAAGAATGAAATTATGCTTTATTTTCGAAATACGTTATTTTAACTTTAACACAAGCTGTTTTATCTGCTTTTATCTGCATTAATTAAGTACTACTAGGAGCAGATTTCCGATTTTTACAGGTTTTCTAAAAAAATTTTACTGTATTTAGTTATTACTTAAAAAATTGCTTGTAGTATTTAGTTGGTTGCGATTTCCTTACATTTTGGCAATAACAAAATTCTCCTATTTTAAATGGTTTAAGTCAGAAAACTCCTATTATATATATTTATCAATTTTTAAACAATTACATGGAGTAAGAAATCCTGGTAAAATTACCGCGCTGTAAAGTAATGACATTTCTGGTAAAATGGAGAAAAAAATTAATACTTCTATTTCATAAAACCAAGACATAGAGTATTTAAACGATTTAATTAGTAGTTACGGTTAATCCTTTCCTAAGGTAACGATTAACCGTGCGTAGTGGACTGATCGTATAGACACGGTTACCAGTAAAAACCGAATTCAAGCTCCACTGGATGTTGTCAATAAACGGGTGGGTGACCACTTGTGGGTGACCAGCATCTGTAGGAACCAAGGGTGTTAGGTTATCGGTCTTCGTTAAACTGTTCCAGAGTAAAGTACTTTATTTTGGGTGCAGGTCATTTGGTTATCATAGAGGAGGAGCCATTCCCTCTCTACAGATGATCAAAATTGTGAAGGCAAGTCATCAGATTATCATCTGGAAGGTTTCCCAGACCATCACCGATAACCCATTGAGCAGCTCTCATGTGGTGTAAATAAACTTATGGTAACGATTAACCGTAAATTCTGCTTTTCAAAATTATAGATCTTTTTACCACACTACGAGAATTTCATTCTAAAATTGCGGTAAAAACTAGCATCTGTAACGGTAAAGCTTACGGTGAAGAATCCTTTTTACCTTAACGGTTTTGAAACTGTTTATAATTTGTATGGTTTTAAAATCATAAATAAAAAAACTAAACTGATTTTTAACCATTTACAACTAGCATGGTTTCAAAAGAGTAAAAAATAGTTTAATTGTAAATTGTAGCTAGGCTTTTTGTTAAATTAACTGGACACTGGAAACTCTGCAGAATACTGGAAAGTGCAGGACACCGGAATCTCTTCATGTATTAAAGAGAACTGTGGAAGTATTGTGGACTGGGGCTCGAACTCCATTCGGTCGGTCATGAGACTTAAATATTGACTCTCTCGGATGAAATATGTACCCAACTGTAAGGAACTAAGTGACTGCATTAATGGAAATATTGTGGAAATATTATGCTGTGGAAATATTGTGGACTGGGGATCGAACTCCATTCGGTCGGTCATGAGACTTAAATATAGACTCTCTCGGATGAAATATGTACCCAACTGTAAGGAACTAAGTGACTGCATTAATGGAAATATTGTGGAAATATTATGCTGTGGAAATATTGTGGACTGGGGATCGAACTCCATTCGGTCGGTCATGAGACTTAAATATAGACTCTCTCGGATGAAATATGTACCCAACTGTAAGGAACTAAGTGACTGCATTAATGGAAATATTGTGGAAATATTATGCTGTGGAAATATTGTGGACTGGGGATCGAACTCCATTCGGTCGGTCATGAGACTTAAATATAGACTCTCTCGGATGAAATATGTACCCAACTGTAAGGAACTAAGTGACTGCATTAATGGAAATATTGTGGAAATATTATGCTGTGGAAATATTGTGGACTGGGGATCGAACTCCATTCGGTCGGTCATGAGACTTAAATATAGACTCTCTCGGATGAAATATGTACCCAACTGTAAGGAACTAAGTGACTGCATTAATGGAAATATTGTGGAAATATTATGCTGTGGAAATATTGTGGACTGGGGATCGAACTCCATTCGGTCGGTCATGAGACTTAAATATAGACTCTCTCGGATGAAATATGTACCCAACTGTAAGGAACTAAGTGACTGCATTAATGGAAATATTGTGGAAATATTATGCTGTGGAAATATTGTGGACTGGGGATCGAACTCCATTCGGTCGGTCATGAGACTTAAATATAGACTCTCTCGGATGAAATATGTACCCAACTGTAAGGAACTAAGTGACTGCATTAATGGAAATATTGTGGAAATATTATGCTGTGGAAATATTGTGGACTGGGGATCGAACTCCATTCGGTCGGTCATGAGACTTAAATATAGACTCTCTCGGATGAAATATGTACCCAACTGTAAGGAACTAAGTGACTGCATTAATGGAAATATTGTGGAAATATTATGCTGTGGAAATATTGTGGACTGGGGATCGAACTCCATTCGGTCGGTCATGAGACTTAAATATAGACTCTCTCGGATGAAATATGTACCCAACTGTAAGGAACTAAGTGACTGCATTAATGGAAATATTGTGGAAATATTATGCTGTGGAAATATTGTGGACTGGGGATCGAACTCCATTCGGTCGGTCATGAGACTTAAATATAGACTCTCTCGGATGAAATATGTACCCAACTGTAAGGAACTAAGTGACTGCATTAATGGAAATATTGTGGAAATATTATGCTGTGGAAATATTGTGGACTGGGGATCGAACTCCATTCGGTCGGTCATGAGACTTAAATATAGACTCTCTCGGATGAAATATGTACCCAACTGTAAGGAACTAAGTGACTGCATTAATGGAAATATTGTGGAAATATTATGCTGTGGAAATATTGTGGACTGGGGATCGAACTCCATTCGGTCGGTCATGAGACTTAAATATAGACTCTCTCGGATGAAATATGTACCCAACTGTAAGGAACTAAGTGACTGCATTAATGGAAATATTGTGGAAATATTATGCTGTGGAAATATTGTGGACTGGGGATCGAACTCCATTCGGTCGGTCATGAGACTTAAATATAGACTCTCTCGGATGAAATATGTACCCAACTGTANTATATATTTGCAAGAAGGAGTGCTTTCTAAATTGTATCTATATAGCCAAAGTAAGATATATAAATTCAATAGTGTGAGGATAAATCAAAAATCTTTTTTGAAACGAAATAGAATACATTAAGTAATATATACAATATGCAAAAAACAGAAATGAATGCAAAGAAAAAACGGAACAAGGCCGAAAACGAAATCAATATTTAGCCAAGTTTAGCGTATGAAAATCTATTTCAGACAAATTCGTGGCTGAAAATCTGTGCGAAACCGGCAATTCATGTTTCTTTCTCTCTTTTTTTCATGGATGTTAATTTTCTAAAATCATTACAATTGTAAATATAAATAACAATCTTAGTAATTATGAACTCCTTCAAATTATCCAGTATAATATTACTCTGCTCACATCCATTTTCGGGCTAATCCTTGGTAATCAAACGCGCTTCAATACTGCAGTAAGAACGAGCTATAAAACGAAATCTCTCCAGTCACGCTTTTAGCTCAGTTTTCTCTTCTGTTTTATTATTTTGTAATCTGGCAATCTTATTACGAAAATATATTAAATCATACTTGAAATGTTTCCCGTATATAGATTTTGTTCCAGATTTATAGATTTCGTTTTGTGCTTTGTTCTGTTTTCTGTTAGCATTACATTTTCTTTTTTTACTCGATATTTATTACTTAATATGTTTTATTTCGTTTCAAATATTTTTTGAGTGCTCCTCACACTATTGTATTGATAAATTTTGCCTTGGCCATATTGGTACAATATTTGAAAGCACTCCGTTTTGCGGATATAGCTGTGTGAGCTGATGAAAAGATTATATAATTTTGTACCCGGATTTTTATAGAATTTTTTAAGAATTTTTCGCTTATAATGCTATTTTATTCTTAATACTTTTCTTCTTTTCCTTTCATTTTTCTGTAATTTTTTTTCTTGTTTTCTATATATTCTGAACTAACTTTTATATGCTTGCTGCTTATGCGAAGTTTTCTCTTTTTTATTTTTATTCTTTTCTTTATTTAATTATCTTTTGTATTTGCTAATTTTGTATTTATTTTTCGCATTAATTTGTTTTTGTTTTTATGAATTTATTATTAATTCATGTTTCGTCTTAATTTAGTGATGCTTAGGTTTGAAATAAAATCACCCAAAAATGGAAGAAAAATCATGTCAATTTCCCCCAAGAGGGTTATATATACACTACCAAAACTACTAATTTATTTTTTGAATTTTAATTTTTTAAACAAGATTGAAAAAATAAAAATAATTAAAAAGCTAGAAAAAAATTACATAAATTTTACTTCAGCTAATGAGAATATTTTTGTTAAGTCTTAAAATTGCAGAAGTAGCCGCAGCAAATATGAAAACATTCTTAAACATTAGAACATTCTTAAGGTATTCGTATCGACAAAGATTGCCGAATAATCTGTTAGTAACCAGAAAATTAGTTTTTCTGAGTTTATTTGGTATAATATGTCTTATCTTAATTAACAGGTTTTATCATTATTAAAGTATGTGCTTTATTATGTCTTATAATAATTAACATGTCTTATCATTATTATAAGTATGTGGTCTAATATGTCTTATCATAATTAACATACATTATTATCTATAAACCTATGTCTTACCTTAAAATTTAATATTTTCAATGCTGACAAACGCGAGAGTTTACTTGTAAATTATTAATTTTATTTATTATTTTTTATTTATTATTTTATTTTTATTTTACATATTTATTTATTTTTTAATTTTGAGTTCGGCAATATAAGGTTTTTGAAAGATCCAGATTCATGTTTAAATGTTTTTTCAGGACATAGTGAAGAAATATGTAATCTTACCTCCAGTTACAAAAACTACAAATAAAAATTATTTATTTACGTTAATTTATGTTTTCACTAAAAAATTAAAATGAATTGCTACTAAGATTGTGAAATTAAAAATAATAATTAAAATTATAATTATAATTATGATTTATAATAAAATTCATATATGTAATTATGAAAATAATAATTATAATAATAATTTATTTCAAATTGTTGAAATATATATTTCTTTACCATCTGCTCCACTAAGAACTGCAATAACAAAATATAAATTAAGTATTTAAAATAAGACCTTACAAAAACAAAGAGCAAATTTCATTCGAATGCGCCGTACCTGCTCCTACAACGTCTGTAAAGAAGAAAAAAAAGGGAAAATTATTTTCTCTCTCTCCCTTTGTATATATATATATATATATATAAAATGTATATTTTTTGTTTTGAGATGGAATTTCACNACAGAAAATAAAATATTAGCAGATTAAAATAGAAAAAAATGAACAATGAAAAATATTTTCCCATTATCTATCTGCACGAATATATTCGTGAAAAAGTGTTTTTTCATGTTTTATTTATAAAGGCAAAACAAAATAAATTAATAGAGTGGGGAATTCAAAAAAATGGCATGAATTCGTTAACATAATTTAATTAATTCAAAACAGCGCAGATATTCAAGTAAAGTCCAAATAAAAATACGTAAATTAAAATATTATAATCAGTACATTTCTTCTATATATACATATACATATAATGCATGAAATGTAATGTAAAGTAAGAATTAAATATCAAAAACCATAAAGTATTAAATATCCGAAAGTATGTATTCTTTAAAAATATTTTTTTCTCTTTTAATTTAAATTCGTAAGTATTTACTTTCCTAACTATTGTATGAGCACTAAAGTGTTTCCTAGTATATAAGCATATCAAATAATAAAATTTATGCAAAATGGAAATTTTACTTATGTTAATTATATGACTCATAAAACGTATGGTTTACTTTCTTGTATTCAAATGTATATTTAAAAGCGTGCACTCGAACTCTGTCTCTAAAACTGATTTTTTTTAAAATAATAGTTACTTAAGTTTCAGGCGTTAATGGCGCAATAACACAATTTGGTTACAAAATCATACTTACTTCCTGCATGGAAAAATATATTTTTAATACAAGCATTTTGAATAAAGCCAACACGTAAACAAAATGAGTCTAATATATTTTAATTATTGTTTGATATCTAAAAGACATTCTAATATATTGCACACAGGTGTATTCTCTTAATTTTATTTTCTAATCAGTCAGAAGTCTTAAGCTCTTTAATGGACGTTTAGAGAAAAAAAATTAAATATGCGTATTGAATATTTAAATTAATCCCTTTAATTTAAAATTAAAATATAT